TCTTCTATTCAAGTATTTCTTTTATGATCCACAGTTGGTCACCAAATGCCATTTCTAGCCGTTTTTTACGATATGCATGTTCCACCGAGAAGAGGCATTTTCCGGATCATTGTTTGCTACGGCTTATCCTTGGGACACTCGGATTAATTCGCGGGCGTCACCCCAGGGCACGAACACTACCTGCGGGTGACCCTTAGTTTGGGGCGGTCACCTTTCTAATTTTGCACTCCAATCAGTCAGGGCGACCGTTTCCCTCACTCCTCGCAAGAATTGAACAACCCATAAATCCGACTGTCTCAAATTTTGAACACACCCACACCGACTTTACCTCCGAGAACATACAACACGCAACAGTCATTCTTCCACCAACCCGAACACGGAATAGTCTACTCTCTAAAAATTATACTCTATACCGATGTGAAGTTGAATGTTCAAATATATTCCAAGTTAAAGAAAAGAAACTCAGCTTAGTATCCCTAGCATCTTGAAAAGTCGTAGGGAACCGCGAATATCAAATACGCGGAAAAACAAGCATCGCCTTCGAAAATGAATGGTCGTTCGCGAGCTTTTCTCCCCCGGTTCCCTTTCATGCGTGTCTACAAATTCGAACGCGCGTGAATTGGTCTCGCTTCTTTGTTCGTTCGCGCGCGATTCCTCTTCGATTATTTACACCTTCCTCCGTTGCCGCGAAGAATCACGGGTAATTAACAGCTTTATCCCGCACTCGTAATTCCTCGTTACGGGTCGCGCCGTTTGCCGAGCAGAGTTTTGAACACCGTCGATGTGTTGCAGTACCGATGGAGTCGATACAAGGGGTGGCAGGACAGAGAGCAACTTTGCCCTGTAATATACAACCCCGCGAGCCGAACGATGCCGTCTCTATGGTGCTCTGGTTCAAAGAGGACAGCGGCGAGCCACTCTACAGGTAAGCCATCATTGTTATTTACGCGCGAGAGTGTGCGGGAGCGAGAAAAAGAAAGATAGATAGAGAGAGAGAGAGAGAGAGAGAGAGAAAGAGAGAGAAAGCGAGGAGAATGAGAGACCTTTTAAATCTCCACGCGGCTCTTTCGCCGATATATTCAACGAGCCTGTCGTCGCTGCTCGCGTGTGCCCTCGTACCGCGCCACCGCAAAAACCGAGCACCGTTCCCGGATTGTTGGAACCGAAAGAAATTACCATTGGCTCGCGCTTCGATCCTGTTCGCCGCGCAGAAATAAATCGAGGCTCGAACCAATGGGGAACTACTCCAGCCCCGGCTGTGGTCGGAACTGCGGTTCCAGCTGGTCGAAATTAAGAATTCTTTCGCCGATGAGTTTGACAACCCCGCGGTTACTCCGGTAGCTAAATCCCGTCGGGGCTGGGTATGCTTCTTACGCTGCTTGCTTGCGCAACGCGAACGATGTTGATTCAGTTGATTGAATTGTCCCGGTATTACATTGAAAATTGTTTAACTATGAGCTGACTATGCGGCGTTGTTTAGCAACGTTTAACTAATTCGTACGGTTTTTTTTAACGTAGTCTCGATTGTGCGTTGGAGCTAAGCAATTGGAATTGTTTTATAATTATTGAATTATATTCAGTTATGTGGAATAACATTAATACTTTGCATTGTTTGGACAATCGAGTAGAATTTTCGTTTAATTAAAGAAGGTATAAAATAGGTTCGCTCTCTGCGAGACGTCTGTGATTCAACCGGGTAAAAACTATAACGATTGGAAAAGACAAAATACATTATCACATGCTGTCGCGATTAAATTGTATCGTGTGGTGAATAGAAAACTATTTGCTATATTGATTTTTGCATTCAACCTATTTGTTGAAATTCAGAGATAATTAAAACAGCAAAACGGAAATGTTGATAATGAAAATATGGAACAATAGAAATGACGGAGACGTACATTTTTTTGACACTATTTTTACCGAAAGGATCAAAAGGCATCTTTAAACAATTTTAATTTCACACTATTTTTACCCGAAGGAATTAAAGGACATTTTTCAATCATTTTTTAAAAATGAATTCGGTAAATTCTATCTGTACAAAATATCGGTAAAAAAAAAAATAACATCGAAATTGTATTTCAATAAAAGTAACGAATAAACGATTAATCATTATTCGGTTAATTACTATTCGAGTTATTCATTATTCCAACTATTCATTAGTCGTTTGGCGAATTATTAAATTCGTTATTTATAATTCGTCATTTCTCATTCGCATTTGACACTGGACAAATATGAATAATAAGATGTATCTCTTATTTATGAATTCAAATTTCAAAGATTACGTATTAATTATCATCCAATTGTTTATTATTTGTATTCGGCACAACGCGTCGAAAAAATAATAATTGCATCGTAATTCATAATTAATGTATTTGAATTTCCTAGTGTTTTCTATTTGTACACCTACTGAATTAGGAATTACATTCTAATCTAATTGAATGGTCATCCGAATCACAATGTAATTGAATTACGATGAAATTTAATTATAATGTAATCGAATTACACTGCGATTGTATTACGATGCAATTGAATTACGATGCAATTGATCAAGCTATATCTTCTTTTTGGTTCATGTTAGGAAAAAATGTGAAAGGAGAAAGATGAAAAGCTTTAAAGGAGTTATTATGTGAAATAAATAATTTTTCCATAGTTGGGCGCGTAGTGGTCGTGTAAAGATTATCGACGTATATCAAAATGAATACTTACATTTTTTCCCATATATCAAATTCTTTCTTTATTCTGCAAAAAAATATGTTAGGGCAATATTATCGAAAAATGAATAGTTTAAAAGATTTTTGGAAAAAATGTCTTCTTCCATCACCTTTCCAAAACATTCTCAATATTTCACACAACGCTTCTTAATCGTTTCCATTGCCGAATTAAGTTGTTGCTTGGCTATTGCTCCGCAACGAACTGCAATTTATTCTCTGCAGAACAAAGAAAGGATTCGATATATTCGAAACAAAAAATGTAAATATCCAATTAGAAAAACGTCGACGATCTTCGCATGATCTCAACGCGTCCACCTACGGAAAAACTATTCATTTGACATTATGTCCCCTTTAAGACCATTTATCTTTCTCCACTAACATTGTTTCCTAACCAAAACGAAGATCATAGCTTATTACAGTTCCGTGAATCACCCTGTAGCCGAACAAAATCGCATCCTCTAAATGGTACTTCGAGTCGGGGAACACGAGAAAGAATCGTCGACGGACCAAGAGCGTGCGCACAGGTTTCCGGTATGAAATGTCGAATCGTGGCAGTCGGCGATCGGTAACAGAAACCGGAAAGATCGAGAAGGAGTACAGCCGAGAATCTCGGTTGCAAGCTGCAGCTTCTCGAGCGGGCATTACGTCGCCTCGTAAAAAAGTCTTATTCCGCGGAAAGAAAAATGCATAAAAGAGGCGCAAACTCGGTTTTATTCGTCTCGCGAGCAGTGGATCCGAGGCGGGGCCAGACCCCCTCCCCCCTGCCGTTCATGGTTCGCCGGCACTCGTACGCCGGTACTCGACGATAAAAACTTTCGAAATGTCTTGGTTCGAAGGCGCCAATGATATTCGAGCCGCGGCGAGAGCTGCAGAAGCAGAATTCAATATTAATATTTAATCTCTGCGAGCGGATGCCAACGGCGAACCGGGACCGTGCCACGGGGAGAATAAATTTGGTCGCGAGTCGGCCCCGCGGAATTCATGCGAATCCTTAGGGTTCGCGACGCGTCGCGAGTCGCGAGACGGCGAACTCGCAACCCGTCGTGCCGCCGCGTTATTCCAACGACCCGCCCGGACAAAACTATTTCGTCGAATTTACGATATAACCTCGCGGAAAGAACCGGCGGCTTCGTAATACGCAACGATGTCGTAAAAGATTCCTAATATCCCGCCGCAATCCCGTAAAATATTCCGTTAAAAATCCGACCGCGTTTAACACTTTGACTGCCGCGTCAGCCGTATGTGGCCAACGGAATTATCCCCGCGGATTTGAAGATTAAGCTAACCTGTTACATCTTCCACGATTCCATTAGGCTGCGAGGAACGTATGAATGTTGGAAAATATGAAAATATTTTATATATATAAAAATAATAAAAATATATAATCTATTTTTATACGTCATTTTACAAGACTTAGTATCAAAGAAAAGTTTCCTTCGTCAGCTAAAAGCTTATCGATCGTAAAAAAGAAAATAGGAACATCATTAGACCTTGTTTACTTGCACGTTGCCTTGCATTTGACTGCACGCTCTATAAATGCACAAGAATACGCAGTTTAGTAATTAACCATCCGTAGACCAGGTGAACGAACTGAACATTATCTGTCTATAAATATATATAATTTTAATCAGAATACACGTTTAAATGGCGTTTCAACGTTTTGATAATTAGCACTGAAATGTATTATTAATAACGACAGTTTTAAAACCGTTGCCTCGTGTTGTACGATTTCACTTTTCAATTTTGATTTGATTGAATAAAATGTCGCGTTTCCACTGTAAGTAAATACCAAATATATGTGATGTACAAAGCGAAAGCGTTTGCTATACTTAAATATAAATAATTACGATACACGTCGAGTGTCTTATACATTATTTTGTCCAGCATTATCGAAACTATTATCGTATCTCATTTTTAGACACTCAGAATCAAAAGCGTGATCACAAAAATGACGAATTCCTGTTGCTCTATGACATTCCGCGTTATGAATATTCGCCACTGAAATTTAATTCCATTCTGATTGATGGAGCTATCGATGCAAAATTGACTGTTCAATCAAGCGTAATTTGGTAATGCACCGTTGTTATTAAATAGAAATATTCAGTCGAGTGGCATGCATACCTACTACTTCATCCATAAAATTTAAAATCCAAATGGCGCCGAATTAATGGTAAAGGAACGAGGAGAACTGCAATTAAATTTGTGAAAATTCCGTAGCACAAAAGTCAAAGTAAGAAATGTCTAGAATGGATGTCCAAATTATTGCCACATTAAATTCATCGCGTTAATTATTTCAGAAGTGATTCGACCTAAAAATCATTTCAATATGCAGCAGAATAATGTTTAAAATCTCTTTGATCAAAGAGAAGCGTTTTATATTATAAATATTATGTGTTAATTGCCAACTAACGGAAAATGTAGTGCAAAGGAACTGCAATGTCCCTATAGCTGTGATTTAAAAAATCGTCGTGTCCGTATAATTGCCACGAACGTGACTCGATCACTGTCATTCCTATTGACTAATTAATGAATTACAAGAAATTATTGCAAATCAAATCATTGTACATGAATAAACGTAACGCTACGTACGCGCATTGCAAACAACACAGACAATAAATGAGTGCAAGCAACATGCAAACATTTCACGATTTCGATCAAAATATCAAACTTCAAACAAGACAGATTTCAAGCTGGAAGCATAGATTAATGTATGCAGCGTATGCTGAGTATACTGGGCATACTATGCGTGCACGACACGTTAGTCGTACCGATTACTGACGACAGTAACATGGACAGGACAATAGAACATTGTCCCAAATGCTGCCACCACTAATTGTTATAAACTAACAACAAACGTCATTACACTTTTACCACTATACCATACTTTTTCGACTACAACTTTTCTTTCATTCGCATCAGTCGCATTTTTCACACGCTAACGATCCATTCATGATTTAATATAACTTATAAATATAGGGTGTTCCAAAAATGTCTCATAATCTGGAAATGGGGGGTTCCTCAAGTCATTTGAAGTAACTTTTCCCATAGAGAAAATGCGATCCGCCGAGTTGTTTGCAAATTATTAACGAAAAACAGTGACCAATGAGAGGCGAGATCAGCTGCCGCGGTACGGCCGAGCCAATGAGCGAAACTGAGCTTCTTGCGCTCGTTGATTGGGCTGCCAGAAGTGCACGACTCTTATTGGTCAGTTATT